TTCATTCATTCATCATTTGTTACAATAATAACTTATACCGTATTGTACCATAACTAATCCTTATATTCTACCATAATCTACTCTTTAACGGATCAATCATCCCATCATTTTATCGATCTAATCAGCTTAAATATAAGATCTTCTAAGTTTAATATTTATAAACAGAAACACTTGTTGAAATTTGCTGAGGAAGAAGTCAAAAGTAATATGAAATTAAAAAAAAAAAAGATTTACAACTATCAAAACAATTATCATTAATAAACCAAAATGATATCAGTTATTTTTCTAGTTATCACATATTGTTACGATAAATGTATGATACATTTGTTAATTTGTCAGTCATACTGTATTATTCGGATACTTTCAAATTATATCCAACATTGAAATGTATAGAAAAATAGTTAGGAAAAATGCTTTTCGTAAAAAAACAAAAAAAAGAAAAATAGCCGATATTTAAAAATATGCTTAATTATTTAAAGCATTTAAATAATTATAATCTATTCATTTCATTGTAACATGTAAATTATCAAAGTATCATTGCAGGATTAAAATGAATAACTATTTGATCAAATAAATTTTGCCAGTTATTGAAAATATTTTTATTAAATTTTATGCATTTATCATTTGAAATATATTAAAATATAACGGAATGAGTAAATGATTAATTATTTTTGGTTGCTAATGGAAAGGAAAAAAGTAAGAAAGAAGGAATTTTAACATGAGAAATTCAAAAATAAAACAGGAAAAAAGTGTTTGACATGCCAAAATTAGATTTTTATTTCATTGTTAATTCATTGAGATGCTGAAAATGATAAATTGATTTAATAAAGTTTGACAAATTTTAATGCTTTTGATAATTCAATTAATTGTTTTCTCAATTAATTGTTTTCTTTAATGTAAGCGTTTGATTGAAATAAGAATGAAATTTTTCTTCCAAAAAAGGATATAATCAATTTATAGGATTATTATAATTATTGCTATCAAAATCGGATTTTTTCTAACTTGAAATGAAATAATTAAATTGAATTGCATTATAAGCAAATTGGAACAAATTTTTGAGGATTAAAGAATGAGTTTTTTAAACATATCTTACACTTTTAATTTCATGAAACCTGTTCAAAAATCATGAATATTTTCATTGTAAATATTTCTCTTTCAAAAATTATGCTCAAATTTTTAATATTTTTATATTCAAACTGAAATGAATTTCATTTTAAAATTAAGGAAATAACTGAATATTACATGAGAAATTACATTAAACACGCTTAAATTAAAACATTTTAGTTAATTTAAATTATGACAAATTTAGATGTAATAAATATTTGGTACTGTTATGCTAAATGGTGATATATTTTTTCATTCATTTTAGTAATTTCTCTTTTCTTTCTCATAAAAAAAAAAAAAAAAATTCCTAACACTAATTTGCATATTGACTAACATTAAATGAATCGATTAATAAATTTAGATGTTTTTTGATATTAAATTTAATTTCAGCTCCCTGTATACATAGAAATAGCTATAGACTAATAAATAAAAATGTGTGCATTGTTAATGTTACTATTGGCGACAAATTTTGCTTATATTTTGGCCAATCAGAAAGAGGCCAATCTTGGCCTAATACCAGATGATATTATCTGTCCATTTTGTATTGCATTAATTGAAAAATTCCAACAAACTACTCAACAAAACTCAGCTTTCAAAAATGTTAGTCCTTTTATTTTCTTTTTTTTTGTTTGTTGTTTGACTTTTACCTAGTAATGAATAAATATGGGCTGACGTACGTGATATATATATATATATATATATATATATATATACACGTATCACGTATTATATATATACATACATATACGTGTTGCATATTACATTACGTATAAACATACTATACATACCTATTCTATTGATTTGAAAGAAATTTTTCTATAAAAAATCATTTTGATCATTCATACGTGTAAATTTGGCATAAATGATACACAAATATGTTTATTCACATATACAAAGTTTAATAATAGCTATAAGTATTTAGTGGTAGGAAAAAATTGCTTCAAATTCAAAATTCAAGGAAAAATTTTATAATCTAAAATTTGAATATCTTTGAATATCGGAAAAAAAATTTGAATATCGGAATAAAATATAAATAAGGGAATGTCAAATTATTTTTTAATACTAAAATTTTGAAAATTTAAAAACACGTAATATCAAATTATCTCTTATTACATGAATATAATTATATACTATTTTTAAAATAATTTATCAAATTTAGTCAAAATGATATTTCTTTTCCTTTTTTTTTTTTTTGTCAAAATTCAATTTGTTCTTTCAGGTTCTATGCGAATCAATTTCAGCAAAAAATCGTAAAAATTACAATTCTTGTATTGAATCATTCAATGAGATGACAGTGGAAAAGTTGAAAACATTAAGTGCTGAAGATTTATGCAAAAACCAGAAAATTTGTCCAATTCATTATAAAAAGGTAATTTTTAACAAATTTTAAAAAGAAAATTTCAAAAAAGGTAATTTTTAACAAATTTGACAAATTTCAATTTCAATACATAATGATTGGCATTTTTGTAATTTCCATTCTTCTTTTCTCTCTCCCTCTTTTTTATTAGATTTTTTCAATCATTTTCGGCATTCATTTTATCTTACTCAAAATGTACAATGAACATAAAAACTAATAATTCGCTAAAAAAATGAAAATTTTGAAATGATGATTTAAACAGAAAATCGATCTATTAATTTAATAATAATGGAAAAGAAAAAGACAAACACATAAATATACAATGTTTATTAATTAGATTTAATAATTGCTTTCTAATTAGCTAGGAAAAAGGAAAAAGGAAGAATATTTCATAGAATGTTGCTTGTTTGTATTGATGATATTTAAGTAAGAAATTTTTGAAATTTATTATATTTATTTAAACAGAAAAAGAAATTTTAAGAAATTTTTTTCATTGCTAAATTTATCGAAAAAACATTTTTTCCTAAAGTATAAAATGAAATAAAAAAGAAATATATATGTGAAAAAAAAGAGAAAATCTAGCCATTAATATAAGCATACCGTATAACTCATTATCTTGAATAGTCTTCTTGAACGATTTGAGATAAGTTCTATCCATGCTTGCTATAAACGTGACAAATGCGCGTGTATCCTTTAAGTTTATGCAGTAAATTATTTAGGTGAGGGATATCATGCGCTGAACTGATCACACTTTTTACTCCTAAGGTTCATCTATCAGGGTTTAACGTGCTAGGATGGTGACAGTGAGCTTTGCAGGAGGTTTTGGTAGAATAACTCTCTGTTAGATGGATAGCCTTACATAATTAAACAAGCTTCACCTGTTCAAGTTTGGAATTAGAGTTGTCCTTGTCCTAGGATGCTTACTTGAAGGCTATCGAACTCATCCTACTTATGACCACACTTTATTTAATCTTTAAGTTGAGACCTATCTGATATGGCAGACCCTATTGAAGGTGTAATCTTATAAAGACATGCAAATTTTTCCCCCTTCCCTGCTATCGTTGGAGAAGATTGTATCATTAAGCAAACTGTTTTACAATAAATTAGGACCATCTTCTAAAAATATCACGATGTATTTTTGATGTAAATAATCCGAAAGGTCAAAGAAAAGAGAAATCGTGGGGTCATTGAAGATAAGATAGCAGCTGACAATATTTGAGCTTCATCCTTATCCATTGCTTTTCCTCATTGAACTGTAACGATGTATTTGTAAACATACGAGCTGATGTTATCTGATTAGAGAGGGAATAATTGACAAGCATTGTGATAAATGATTATGGCTTTTATCTTTTGTCCTTCCTTCATTTTCTTCATCTTTCCTATCCTTCGACATTTACTTTTTTTTCATCGTTTAAAAATTGTTGATAACATTGATTGATGAGAAATGAGACAAGAGAAGAGATTATTTGTTGATAAAATTAAATATTTAAAAAAATAAAATTTTATTAACAAATTTAATTTAACAATTCCAAATTTTAAATTTTAACATATATAAGCGGAAATGCTATAAGAAAAACAAATAGAATAATGACATTTTATTTGAACGAAAAGAAGAAAAGTAATGATGATGAAAGAACAAATATATTATGCATTACTATATATAGTCAAAATATCAGTATTTAAAATTATATCATTATTAAAAATTGATTTCAAATTATATTAGCATTTAAAATCAGATCATTATTAAAAATTAATTTCGAATTCTATCAGTATTTGAAATTATATCAACATTGAAAGTTTTTTTCTGAAATTATTTAAAATTATAATAATATCATTTTTCAAAAATAATAATTTATCTCTGCCAAATATCGCATTTAATCTTTGGTATTAGTAATTTATTACTTTCATCTTCTCACACTTTTTTTTTTGCAACATTTGCTGTGAACTTTAATTCTAAATGGAAGTAAAAGAGGTAAAAATTGTTGCACCTGTAAATAATTGCTTAATTGATATCATTAATTATATCAGTTGTTTGTTGAAGAGGTAAATTGCTTGCAAAACATTGCAAACAATTGGTAATTAACTTAGGCTTTGGTAATTGATTTAGAAGATTTTGGCAATTAAATTAGAATACTTTATTAATTTAAATAATGAAATTTGACATAGTGTGAATTAATAATGTTTCGAAGTGATTTAATTATATAATTTCAATAAGCGATGCAATAATAAATTACTCCGATAAAAGTTAATTTTAATTGAAAACTTTTACCTATAAATAATATAAAAATTGTTTATTATAGTAATATTAATGGCAAATACCGGTAAAGCCGATTTTCCGACTTTACCGGCCGTAACGGATGAGCAATTGAAGAATACGGGAAAATATGATGCCTTCAAAACTATGGCTGATATTTTTACTGGAAAATTGGAAAATTCAAATGGAAAAAATTTAACGCTTCACATTGATGTGCAATTTCAAAAATTGCAACCTAATGAAATGGCAACATCAGAAAATTCAACAACTGTTTCCGGTCCAACAGAATTAAATGGCACCTAATTGATGCATGTGTAAATGAAATGAAAATGATATTTGTCAATTTTTTGTCATTTTAAATGGGATAATTTGAACTTTCAACTTTCATCATTCATCAATGCCATATTGTTATTTTCATTTCCTATATTCTATATGCATAAATAATTCAAATATAACCATGAAAAATGTTTTAAAGCAAGAAATAAAATAAAATAAAATACAAGTTATAATTCTACTTTTTTTAATTTCATAAAAATTGAATTTTAAATTTTTAATTATAAAAAAATTTCTTGTATCATAAGAATGATAGGAAATATTCAATTTAATGCATGGAAATAGTTTACAGTTAATTTTAAACTTTCATTTTGCGATATTCCTAATTAAATAACAAAAAAAGTTTTGCGATAATTAGTACAATCATTAATTAATGTAACCGAAGAAATTTGATAAAAAGCATAATTAACACAATTTTTTTCGTCCTTTTTTCCATGCCTTAATATTTTTTTGCTCCTTTTGAGCCTTAGAATTCTTTATTCTTTTTGAACCTTAGCATTTTTTTGTTTTGTTTGTTTTTTTTTTTTTTTTATGGTTATGGCTTATGACAACATTTGCTTTTATTTTTTGTCACCCTTTTTTTTGTTTATGCGTTAGATTTTAGTGTTTGAATAAATGAATATAAGCAGTATTGTCATCAAATTTAGTCTTGAAGTTATAAATTGTCATGTTAAAATGTGTTAACAAAATAAAAAAGAAAGGACAGAAAAGAAAGTACAACAAAAAAATCTGATTGCATTATTTAAAATGACAAATACATTTTAAAAATATACTGATGGTTGTTGCCTTTTTTTTTTAAAAAAAAAAAATTAGTTTCCACAATTCTTAGGTTTTATCATTATTTATTAAATATTTGATTTTTTCAAAGATTGATTTTATGCTCAAATATTGATAATATAAAAGATATCATTATTCAAATTTTAAAAGTGACTATTTAAAAATTATCACTTTTGTATTGAGCATGGATTAATCAATTGATTCGATTATATTTGTTATAATTTCAATTCAGTCTTACTTTTTTTTTTGCTATAATTGCATAAACATTCTTCCTCTTTCTTTTCTTTTCCCTTCCAATTTCCTCTTAGCTTTACACTATCAGAAATTATCTAATCATCGACTGATAACAATTAGTCATCATAAAATTTGTATTTAAAAATAGCTCATTATTATTACAGTAAAAAAGAATAGAGGTGAAGTAACAAAAATAAATTATATGAAAAAAATCCTGATTTTTGATAAATTAAATTAATAAATGCTGGAGAAATGGCAATAAATGAAATAAATAATGGCATAATTAATTGCACTCAAAATGAATCTGTGAAGATTTAAAAGTTATAAATCATTTATTGTCAATCTTTTGCTATTTATTCGCATTATTAATAATTTGCTAATTAATTTAATCAAACGTTCATTTTGAAAAAAGTATATTTTCAAACAGAATTAAAATTTAACATAACATATGTTTTGCACGTTTGTTCAATTCAAATTAATTATTGCTTATGGGATCATAATATTATTTTCTTTTTAATCTTCTTTTTTAATATTTTCAACAGTCTTAAATTTCATTTCATAGCGATAATTTGCAATAGCATTTTGTTTTATATGTAATTATTGCTTATTAATTAAATTTAAAAATATTTAAAAAAAATGATGGATAATGTCGAAATCACACTAAATTAATTAAAATTTTGAAATTACAAAGGAAACAACTGAAATATAGTAGCTATTATACAAAATTAATCCAAATCAAACCATTTGTAATTAACAGAATCACAAGTGATAAATAAAACTTGCTCCATTTTTCATTCATTAATTTTGGGTCAACCAAAAATTTGTCCAATTTTGGATTAGCTAAGGATTTGGCTGAAATTTTCTGATCAAATATAGAAAATAAGAAATGTATTATTGAATTAGTTGAAAGCAATTGTTCATTGTGGATTTTGAAATATAAAAAAAGTTAACAATTTTCAGGCTTACCAAAGTTTTACTTTTACTCATTTAGCAAACAAAAGAAAAAAAAAGTTCTAGAATTAATGGGAAAATATACGTAAAATTATGATGACAATCAAAATGAATGAAAATACTTGAAAAGAACATATTACGGTATCAAAGGTAGGCGTATGAAAGGTAAGCCATGGATGTAAAACATCGTCATTGTCCTGTGTGACTAATTAAAATTGTTTGTAACATGGAAATTAAATTGATGAAATATATAACATTTATAACATTTAACAATAATCGAAATAATTATTTATTCAATTCTTATTTATTGCTCTTTTTTGATTTCAAAAATTTACAAAAAAAAAAAAAAAAAACAAAATTGAAAAAGTATATTTGAAAGATATATGCCATAGAATTGATATTTACAGTATTAATTGATCTATTCGAAACCAGGAAAAAATTCCATTTAATAAAATTTGGCATAACTGAATTATTATTGACTAGTAATTCAATCAATCAAATTAATTAATTATTCAACGATGCTTAAATCGTCCAATTTAATTATTACTGATAGTTAAATTTATTTTAACCATTTTTGATCAATGTCACATTATTTCATTTCTAATTAATTTTTCCTTTTGCTTAATTTACGAGATCACATTAACCCGTTCAGGTATTGTTTGCATCGTATTTTAAATTCTGCACATAATAATTTTTAATTAAAATCAAAAAAACAAAAAAGATAAAACTTAAAATAAACCGTTAACATCCCATTTTTTTAGCTTTGAAAATGATTACTTTGATTATTTGATAAAAAATTATCATCTGTTTAAAAAACATTCCTTTTTTTTTAGAATTATATTATTTGTTACTTCCCAGTTTTGAATTACATCTTTCATATTCTTTGATTTGCAATTATTTCATTAATTTCCTATCAACCTTCTAATTGATCTATTCCCGGGGAAGATTCAAAGCATGTATTATTATTCCTTTCATTGCAATCATTCATATCATATCTACTTCTTATGCTTCTTCCCCTTATCACTTTTAATTATATTAATTACTATTAAGATTGATTAGCTAAGAAATTAGTACTTTTCCAGCTATTTCATGAAATTTTTTACTTTCATTTTAGCTAAATTTAGAAATAAATAATTTAGTAGGTTTTCCATTAATAGCTGACCATTTTACGTAATTTTAATTAAAAAATACTACCCTATGATATGACATGTATATATTTAACTATACTAATTAGTAATTGATTATTTTGTGTTCAATGATTTTCAAAAATTTTAAGCCACTAATTAAGAAAGTTTATTATTATAAATTTTTGTATTATTCTTTTTATTAACAAATATGCATTTATTTTGTCCATTCATTTCTGCAATGAATTAATATATTAAACAATAATGGTTGACATTATAGTTAAAAAATTTCGATAATTTTTACTTTGCTTCATTCATTGTTAACTTTCAGTTTTATATCTTTCATTTCCTTTCATTTCTGAGCAAAATATTAAGTATAATGTAATCTAATAATAATTCAAATTTATAATAATTATTAGTTATCTCCAAAAAAAGACAAAAAAAAATCTTTCAAACAATTAACATTTCGTTTAATATTCATTGTAAAACAAATTTAAAACAAAAACCTAGGTATTCATTAATAAATTTTCTAATTAGAGCCATAATTCGGATAAGCACTAGGAATATTAATTCGATCAATCAGTATTGATTGGCTTAAAACCTATGATTAAAATAATTTTAAATTTATTAAATTTTTTCAATTTTTAATAGCCAACATGAATTGATCATTAATAAGCAAATTCACGCAATTTTTTTTTTTTTTCAGAATTTTGATTAAATAAATTTTCATTTTTCATTAGTTTATAGCATTTGGTCATATATACATACCTCATATTAATACTAATATGGCATGTTGGATAGTTTCATTAGACGGTGGTCCAAAAAAACCAAATCAAGCAGCGATTGTGATAAATGACAAAATTTATTCATTTGGTAGTTGTTGTTGTTATGAAAGAGGCTTCATTGAACCTGAATTAGCTTTCGGTGTACACGTCTTGAATCCTGGTTTGTTTCCTTAATTTTAATTTCATTCTTATCTAATTTTAAAACAAATTAAATTCATTTTCTAATTCTTCATTTTACATTGAATTACTGAATTGCTTGGAACTGATATCGGAAATCATACACGCGCTTTAATACTTTTTTTCTAAAGTTATTTTCTAATTCCATTGATTTCTACTAAATTTTTGAATTGTACTCGATATCGGAAATCATTTACCATACGTGTATTTTAATATTTTTTTCTTCATCTTCTTTCAAATAATCGTTTGATAAATTTTCATTGTAACATTAACTTTTCTCAGTTATTATAATATTTTCATTTTTGGTAAGTTTTGGGAATTTTTTAAAAAATAAAACGAAAAACATTCATATATTTTAATTTATAAATAAATATTGCAACATGAAGAATTGTTTTAGAATTGAATGGTAAAATTTGTATAATAACATGAATGAAGTTGACACTTCAATTACTGATTTCAATTATTGCATTAATTAATTAAGTTTTGGCACTTCAATTACTGATTTCAATTATTGCATTAATTAATGAATTTTAGCAAATATTGCAGTCTCTTCAATTGCTCCCACTTTTTCTTTTCCCTACTTCTCATCTCTCTCTCTCTCTCTCTCCCTCTCATTCTCTTGGAAATTTTTTTAATGAATAATATTTTGCATTAATATTATTCCTGTTTACATTTCTAATTGATTATTTCATTTTATTTTCATTCATTTTTTTTTAAGGTAAAAATTTTTTTTAAAAAAATGAATTAAAAAATTGTTGATTATTTCAAGCTGATTATCGTTGGCAATTTGTACAAACAAGAAGATTTGAGCCAAATCCATCAGAGCAATTTATTGATGGAACAGGTGAAATATATCAACCATATGGTGAAATACCAACTTTAAGATCTGGTCATAGTGTTGTCGCATATAAAGGAAAAGCATATATGTGGGGTGGTTATTGTTATGGTCGAGAAATTTTAAGTACATCATTGTACTGCTTTGATCCTGGTATTTTTGTTTTTTCTTCCTTATATATATATATAATTTTACTAAATATTATCCGAAATTTTTAGAAAAAGAATTTTTTCAAACTAATTAATATAATTAATAATTATTGAAAAGGCTAAAAAAAAAAACAGGTGATAAGGAACAAAATGTAACATTTGGATTAAGTGATAAAAAAAATCCTTTTTCTTTCTAAAAAGCCTTATTTTTTTTTTAAAAAAAATTGTTTTGGTATATAATTTTAGTAAATATTATTAAAAAATTTCAAAAAAGAGAATTTTTTAAAATCAGTTTAATTAATCAATTATTATTAAAGAGGTTAAAAAATAGTAAAAGAAGAAGAAGAGTGATAAAAGGTAGTGTTAACATTAAATGATAAAATGCTTAAGTGTATAATTTCAATAAATATTCCCTTAAATTTTTGGAAAAGAAGTTTTTTAAAATTACTTAAATTAATCAGTAATTATTAAAGAGGTTAGAAAAGGTGATAAATGACAAAATGTAGTGTTATGATTAAATGATAAAATATTTAGGTATGTAATTTGAATATAATTTTAGTGATAATAGGAAGAAAATAATCACGTGTATGACGTGAAAAAGAAAAACATATTATTTTGAAATATTCAATAGTTTTTTTTTTTTGCAGAAGAACGAACTTGGTCAGTAATTCCACACGTTGGTCCCACGCCAGCTCCACGTGAAAAACATACGGCTGTGGTATTTAATGATATGATGATCATATATGGTGGTCTAATCAATAATCAATTAAGGTAATTAATTCGAAATGATTGTTGTATTATATCCCCTTCATTACTTCTTCGTTCTTTCTCTCTCAAGAAAAAAAAGTTTAAAAATTAAAAGTTGGGGACGAAATAAGTTTATCATATTTGTCAAACAACTATCAAATGATCAAAATGATAGCAAAAAAAAAGATAAAATTATCACTAAGTTGGAAAATTTTTGCATTTTTTTAGATTTTGCGAAAATGTTTGGGGCTATAATTTTAGGACAAGGAAATGGTACAGTACGTTAATAACTGTAAGTTATTATTTCATTATAAAATTAATAAAATATACATATTTGCTAAGTACAAAATATGATAATATGCTTGTGAAATTTCATCAATTCTATAAATTTACAAATTTTAAAATTTAAAATTTAAGAAAAAAATTTAAAAAGAAAACTTATTGAAAATAAAAGAAAAAAAAAGGAAAGGAAGGAAATGATACAGGGTGATATACCACGAGGACGAATACATCATACAGCATGTGTAATTGAGAAAAAAATGTATGTTTTTGGTGGTGTTGATCAATCAAATCATGCATTATATTTAAATGTATTGGATTTACGACGAGGACATTGGGAAACAACAAATGTCACAGGACATCGACCATATGCTGTACGAGATGCTTGTTGTTGTATGTTTTCAATTTGATAATCATTTCCTTATTAATTTATTAGTTTATTTTTTAATTTTTTTTTTGTTTTTATTTTCTTCAAAAAAATCTTTCTTTTTTTTGTTTTGTAATGAATGCAATTGTTTAGTTCCTAAAACGATCATTTAAAAGGATTTTTTATTTTTGATTGATTGATTGATTGATTGATCATTTTAGAAATTAAATATTCCAATATATAATATATATATATGTAGGATATTTTAATTGAAAATTTGAAAAAATCTCAATGAATGATCGGAATATGTTGATAAAATCATATCATTTGTAGGGGTTCATAACAATAAAATGTATATATTTGCTGGATGTCGACATAGAGATGGACAATATGTACCTTCACTCTATCGATTTGATCCTGAAATATCAATGTGGTCTAAAATACGTCCATTTGGTTTCAGAGGCGCATCGGGTCGACAACATCATTGTGGAGTGGTCGTCGGCGATTGCGCTTACGTATTTACTGGTTTGACGTAAGGAATTTAATACCGTATTAGAATTTTATATGTATATATATGTATGTATATATAATATACTATGTGTAAATTTTAATCATATAAAGTTGGCGGAAAGATCAATCAATTAATTAGTTAATTAGTAAATATTAAAGGAAAATTTTTTTGAATAATATTTTATTGTAAGGAATAGTTATAGTAATTTTTTTTTTTTCGATTAATTATGGTAAATGTAATCGAAAGAAATATAATAACCAATTGTAAATCAATCATGTATAGATTATCTGATTAAAAATTATATTTAATATATTGATTGAAATTAAAAGGAAAAGTTTTTAAATTAATTACAGCTTTGCATAATTAAAATTAAAAATATGTATAATTAAAAATATTATATTGGTTACTATTTTAGGCAAAGCATTGTATTTACTGAAATGTTTGGCTATGGATATGTAATGGAAATGTGTGATCTTCATGTTCTTAGTTTCAGTTTGTTTTAAATTAATTATTTATGCAAATGGATGAATTATTGTATTATTGCAAAAATTTCACTTTCAATATTTCGTTGACATTTTTATTCTTTTCAAAAAAAAAAAAACTTCTTTCCAAATTTTTTTCCTTAAATGAGAAAGTTTTTAAAATCCTTTGGAAATGAAATTTTTAAAATTTAATGTAAAATTCATAAATTCTTTTTTTATAGATTGGACATTGAAGGATCTTTCAGCAATTGCTGTATTACAGCATGGATTATACAGGATAGATTCTGATGAGCTTCCGCTTGAATTAAAGTTAGTTTTTATTTCTCTTTTTTTTTTTGTTTTTCAAATACATTTTCCACATTTGTTAAATAATTTAGCATTTATCAGCTTGTTTTTACTTTTTTTTTGTTAATTTTTAATTGATATTTCAAATATTTTATGATATTTTAAGAGAAGAAAGCAAATAACGGAAATTAAATTTTTCATATATTTTTAATATTTTGAATTTATGTTAGATTTTAATTCATATTTTCACATTTCATCTGTAATGATTAGCAGTACGATGAAGATAAAATTGTCAAATGAAAACTTATCTGAGTCATTTAAATTTAAATTTCAGAGTTCATCTTGCTATGATGACAGAATCGAATGACTTATTATGAAAGTAATCTATTTAATGGGACTATTTTAAAGTGTTTTGCTTGAAATGATGAATTGAATGATTTTTATGCAAAAATTTCCATCTCTTCTCTCGTTTTGTTTGGAAATATTTAAAAAAAAAGAATTTTTTTAATTCTTTCATTTCATTTCAATTATCATTATCAGTATTTGTTGCAAAATTCTTGATAATCTATGATCCTATCGTTATTTTTTTACAATTATTTTTGTTGTTACAAGAATTGTGTCATTATTTATTTGAAAATTTATATTGCAATAATCATTTAAATGGTTTAAATGATCATTATCATGAATTTAACAAACTTTTTTGCTTTCATTTTTTTCAAAAAAAAAAGTGTTTTTGAAATTAGTTTGATGAGATTGTATAATCTAATTTGTCTTCAAGATTTCACTCAATGTTTTTTTCATTCTTTGTTTTATTCCTATCCAAAATCATATCGAAAACTTTTTTTTCATTTTTTTTTCGAAATTTATTGCTACAATTTTAAATTCGTTTATTTACCAAAAAAAAAAAAAATTAAAATATTGCAACAATTTGATCTTCATAAATGCTACAAAAGTTTTGTGTCATCTCTTTTTGGTCATTTGTCATTGTCACACGTTAATATCACGAAAAGTTATTAAATGAAGTGCTATTGAATCAGATGGGAATGAAGAAGAGAAAGTTATTCGTCATTCTTTCATCCAATATTGTGGAAGGAAAAAAAAAGAGAACGGTTAAAATCACAATTGTAGAAGATTGTGGAAACTGTAATCACACAGAAATACTGTAATGGGAAGCTACCACACACTTTCTTAACTTTCTGCTTACTACTCTTAAAAAACGTTTTCAATTGTAACCGTGGAAGATTCTGGAAATCTTTTTTCACACAGCAACACAGTAACAAAATGTTACCGTATATTGTATGGATAAAAAAAAAAATGAATTTTGATAAATGAAACTACATGGATTTTAAAATGAATGTGATTCTGAATACCATCATCTCAAACTGTTTACTTCGAATGGTCCAATTACAAAACGATGATATTATGTTACTGTCGTTGACAAACAGTTGCTAATTTATCATAAATATTATCAGCATTTGAAAAAGATAATTAAAAATTTCAATTTTGGTCATAAGATGGTATCATTTGATATTGTTTGATACAGAAACTCGATGACACTATTGTTATCAGTGATCATATCTAATCGATGAGTTCTAAAAAATTGATTTATATCTATCATAACTATGTATATTAAATGAATTCATACATGACAGCAAAATTTTTACTGCAATTTTTATTAATTGTGCAAAAAATTAAAATAAAAGAAAAATTGTTTTGTAAGTTTGAAGTATTCTGTTTAATTAAGGAAGGGGAATTTGTAAAAAAAAGAAGTATTAAAACATAAAAATGATAAAAAATATACATTTTCAGGCAAATAATTCATTTGCATAATGGAATAATTGTATATTACTTTATATGCTTTAATTATAAGTTTAATTTCATTTACTGTTTTATTTCAAATCAATTCATCAACATGATGCAATGCTTTTAAACAATGTTAATGGATCATTCGACTTATCATATCTTTTATCTTTCTCATCCGATTCACTTTAATTTTAAATTAATAATTTTCATTGTATCACTTGGGGAAAAAAAGAAAAAAAAGAAATATTGTAGGATAGACATTGAAAGATCTTTTAACTATTCATTGAAATTGATTTAAACGAATTTAATTTTATTGCTAATTTCAGGCTGTTTAATAATGCATAAAATTTGTATTTCGCTCATTTTGCAAAAATTTCTAATTGTTATTTTAAATTATTTCAAGCCAAAAATAAATGGAAACGTTAAAGAGTAAACATCTGCTATCAATCTTTACATGAAATGTAAAGATTGATTATTCTATGATAAATATTTGTTGCAATTATTAGGACAAACAGGTCTATGAATCAAAAATAATATCAATGATTTTCAATCAAATGATAACATTTGTCAAGTAAGTTGACATAAATTATGCATGAAAAAAATTGATTAAAATCGAATTTGATGAATTATACGAAAGACTTTTGATCAGATAAGTGATTTGGAAATGATAATATTAAGTAATTAATGATAATATACTTAATTAAGTAATGCAATATGCAGTATGAATAAAGGCATAAATGATAGTTGCAAATGATGCAACAAAAAATTATTAAAAATAATAGTGATGAAATACCAATAATTATTTCATAATAAATCTGAATACTGAATATCATTAAAAATGGATTACTTATATGGAGTAATAGTAATCATTTCATATTAAATTTTAATTTTGAAGATTAATAATTAGAGTAAATGAGATAAATGTACCAAAAAAGACAATTTGTGGAAAGAAATAAATAGAAATGAATACGTAAATACACGCGAAAATACAATAAGAAATAAAAAGATACTAAAACCATAATGCAAAGAAAATGATTTCGTATTTATTCAAAAGTTTAAATGATAATTATGAATTAGTAAACAATGTTACAATGATGACAATGATAATGATGGTAATGATAATGACAGCAATAATAGTGATAATAATAGTAATGATAATAATGATGAAAGAAAGTGAAAATTATTATTATAGAAGTAAATGAATAATATTTAGTATTTTAAAATTCAAGTTTCAAAAGAGAGAAATACATGTAATATTATCTAAAAAGATTGAAGAAAAGAAAAATAAAAAACAAAAACAAAAAATTAGCAAAATTAATTTTTCCAATGCGGAAAAATCGCCAAAAATACTTTCATATGAAGCGCATTTTAACATTTTTTCCAATGACAATAGCGCATTCACAACTCGTAATTAGGTGCAGTCCTCTTAAGCAGCTGATGTCTGAAATTTGAAATAAGAACGAATAATCAAATAAATAAATTAAGCAGTAAACTATTAATGACTAATTTAAGTGATATAATCAGTAATGATATCGACAAACAATTGGATATTGATTTTTGTGGGGATAAAATAGTAATGAGATATGCTAAGCTAAAATGATTAGATTCTATTCCTTGATAAGTTGGAAATATTTTAAATATTTTGAGAAGAATTTTATCAAAGATTAGATTAATTAAATTACAAAAATAGCGAAAAGAGAAAGATAAGGAAAAAATTATGACGAACATACCGTATACCACGTGGAAGTTTGTCGAAAATTTTGTGACTTAAACGGCTTTGCACTAACGAAATAATACAAAGATCTTGCAATTTATATGCTATAATTTTCATTTTAAAAAATCGCCAAAATTACTTAATGAATTAATTGCAGAATTTTAATTATTAATTGATGAATTAAAACCGCCTTAGTTTCGTATTATTTTGATTAAGGATAGTAAAGTTAAACTAATGCTATTGTAAAAGGATTAGATGATAAGGCTGATAAAAGATTAGTTTATTGAATAATACACTATCGTAATGGGATTAATTGATAAAGCTAATAAAGGATTGATAAAATGGATAAATTATAATGAAATTATTTGATAAGATTGATAAAAGATTAGGTCAATTAAATTAAATGATTAGTTAATGAGATTAATTAATTCATCATGTCAAGAAAAAAAAATATGAAAGAAAAATGACAATCTTGTTAAATAAATTACTATTTTAGAAAAAAATTAATTAAAAAAACGATTGGATTTTTAGTAGTTCAAGCAATTTTAATAATAATACTAAATATTAATATAAATACCATAGTAAGATAATATTGATAATGTATCATCAAAATTACAATTCTATACAGATCTTAAACTAACCATGATCAAGAACATGAAGATCACATAATTCCCTATTTAAGTCTACATCAATAATAATATCAATATACCTTTCCGATTCAATCGCTGACCTTAAATGTTATCATATGATAATGTCACATAGAGAAATGTGACATTGTTTAATATTGTTTTTAAATAAAAAAAAAATCTATTTATTAATCAAATAAAACATAACTGTTCAATACATCCCACGATAAAACAATACCTTTAATGACCAAAAAAAAAGAAAAATTCAATAATTAGCAAAGTCAAAAATTCATTCAGCAATGATCAAAAATAAAATTCTTATATTTCCATTAATCATTTATCTTAGATACCGTACGATAATTATCGCTAATCTATTAGTCATTAATTTAGAAAAAATATTATTCCCATACTGTAACAATCTACCATAATGCTAAAAAGAAATAAATAAATTTGAAATTCACTATTAATTATTAACTTGAAACAAAAAATTACTTGTTATACGGTTATAGTATATTGTTAAGAAAAAAAAAAAATAAGCTTACGCCAAACCACCAAATAAAAAGACACGATCATTAACGAGAACCGAGCAATGTCGTTGTCTTGGTATCGGTGGATCCAAACCATACTGTTGTAAAAGACGCCATCGAGATGTTTCAGGATTAAATTCATAAAGTGTATCTAAATTTTGACGCGTATCATGTTCAAAACCACCAAAGATATACATCATTCCATTATATACCCCTGAAATAATGATTATTTCAATTTAATTTTGTTTATAATTAATTGATTTGGATTGAAATCTAATTTGAATTAAAAATGAACAAATGATAAATATTAAAGTTTGTAATCGAATGAATCAAATTATTAGCTTACTGCAAATCACATACAATATTATCCTGAAAATTTGTAATTTTAAATTATTCATTGTTTTTTCTTAAAATGAAACTATTATATGTTTTGTTATTCTTATTCTTATTAGAAAGAATAAACAAATAATAATTAACTGTTAATTAAGATGTGAAACCTACAAGCAGAATGACTTCGACGTTTACATGGAATATCACCGGTCTCTTCGGGTTTTTCCCAATGACCAGTTTCTAAATCTAATACATCCAAGCCTAAATTATTCATGAAAATATCCACACCACCAAATACATACATTTTCCTATTAATAACACATGCTGTATGAAATTCTCGTCCATTTACAGCTGATCCACCCTGAAATAATCAATAAATTTAACTCAATCGAAAAAAAAAGGTCAAAAATGTCAAAGTGAAATTTTATGAAATTATTGTTATTGTAACTACCAATTAAATGAATGGAATAGCTAATTTTCAGCAAATTATATTCATTTTAAATCATAATAATTAGTTCGCTAATTAGACTTGCAAAAATTAAAATTGAGTTAGTATTTTGAACCACATTCTAAATTTTTTAAATCACAAAAACGAAAAACTTACTTCGGTAGTCATTTCATACCACTTTCTTGTTTTGAAATTATAGGCAGGAATGGATTCCGGAAAACTGAAAAAGCCTATTTCCATCTCTTTTTCTTCTTTATTTTTCGTTTACTATTTTTACGTATTTCAAATTACAAAGTATGTTTTTCAGTTTAATTTATCAATCGTTTCGCATAAAAAATCAAATGATTAAAAAAATTTAACAAGCCATTGGTTAAAATTTATTTTATTATTTCTCATGAACTATTTCATCAAGGTACTTACGTAAAATCAATAATAATAATTAATAGTAATAATTAATAATAATAATAATAATAATAATAATAATAATAATAATAATAATAAGTAATAATAATAATAGTAATAACAATAATAATAATAATAATAATAATAATAATAATAATAATAATAATAATAATAGTAATAATAATAATAATAATAGTAGTAATAATAATAATAATAATAATAATAATAATAATAATAA